CAAATGTTGGCAATGGTGAATAAAGGAGGTTTTAAAATAGCATACTCTTTTTGGTCTCATAAAAACATTTTAATATTAATTGCTTTTCAGATGTCACTTGTATTTTTAATAATTAGTATTTTTGATTAAACAAAATGCTGTTCATTTTCATATGCCAAAATTTAAGGTCTTTATATACATCTATAGCTAGAACTTGAGTTATTTCATCTGTGATCTGAATATTTTATTTTAATGAATGAATTCCCTGCTCATGTCAGAGGTCCTTAAGACAACAAATTAGCAAAACTTTCAGAAGAGGGGCGCCTGGGTGGCTCAGTCGTTAAGTGTCTGCCTTGAGCTCAGGTCATGATCCCAGATTTCTGGGATCGAGCCCCACATCGGGCTCCCTGCTCAGCAACAAGCCTGCTTCTCCCTCTCCCGCTCCCCCTGCTTGTGTTCCCTCTCTCAGTGTCTCTCTCTCTCTGTCAAATAAATACATAAAATCTTAAAAAACAAAACAAAACAAAAAAAACCTTTCAGAACAGATTGCTTATACTATTTTGACTCAACTTGCTTCACACTTCCCTTCATACATACAGACCAGGATTTCCCTGTTTTGAAGTCCAATCAAATATAAACAATTCCTGGGATCAAATTAAAAAGATGTAAACTCCAGAGTAACTACTGAATATAGGGGTCAATAATCTGATCTGCACAGATTGATTCCCTGATCTATCTGTTTTTCATCTATCTATCTATCTATCATCTATCTATCTATCATCTATCTATATCTATTTATAGATACCATACCATACTATAGATATAGATATAGATATATGTAATTCACTTAATTCTCACAACAAATTTATCATTCCAATCTCACAAATAAGGAAAATGGGACTGAGTCAAAAATGATTTGCCCAGGCAGGTAACAACAGATAGAAAGAGGCACTTCTAGGATCTGAGCCTGAACTTTCTGATGCCTGGTTGAGGAATCTTCCAACAATTCTGTTTCTATTTAAAGAGAAATCAAAGAAGATAAGGAAAAGTCGTTACTGTTGTGATTGTTTTTGTAAACTATTGACAATATAATAATTTTACATGAGTGAATTCGGAGTGCTAATTAGGGGAAATTGATTCCAACTGAGGATTAAATAGTTTTTTAGGAGATTTCTGTTTTAGTCAATGACAGGGATTAGGAATCTTTTTTTGCCTTTTAAAAGCTATAAAACCTTTTGCAAAGGTTTGATGTTATGGACACCGTTTTCATTGAAAGTCTACATGTGCACAAATACACAGCATTTTATAGTTTCCAGGGAATTCACAGAACCGCCTGAAGATTTTCTTTCTTTTTTTTTTTTTTTTAGGTTTTATTATTTATTTGACAGAGAGAGACACAGCAAGAGAGGGAACACAAGCAGGGGGAGTGGGAGAGGGAGAAGCAGACTTCCCGCTGAGCAGGGAGCCCGACGCGGGCCTCGATCCCAGGACCCTGCGATCATGACCTGAGCTGAAGGCAGATGCTTAATGACTGAGCCACCCAGGTGCACGCCCCTCCAAGATTTTCTTGAACCTCCCGGTCTACTTACAATAAAATACAAGCCACTATTCTGGGATACAAAGCCCAAGGGTGCAGTAGGGGTAGCGGGTATCTATTGAGTGCCACATGGAAATTAAAAGCAACTGCTTGGGTTTTTTTTCTTTGGAGGTAAAGATATTAAAATCTTTTTTTTTTTAAATTTTTTTTTTAAAGATTTTATTTATTTATTTGAGAGAGAGTGAGAGAATGAGAGAGCGAACATGAGAGGGGGGAGGGTCAGAGGGAGAAGCAGACTCCCTGCCGAGCAGGGAGCCTGATGCGGGACTCGATCCAGGGACTCCAGGATCATGACCTGAGCCGAAGGCAGTTGCTTAACCAACTGAGCCACCCAGGCGCCCCGGTATTAAAATCTTTTTAACAACCAGTTTATAAACTTAATGAGGTGAGAGAAATGATAATTAAAGTCTAATTTATGAATATTGTGATGGACTTGGTTTGAGAGAGAAAAGAATAGAGGAAAAGACAAGCATGAAAGGGAAATTGAGAGAGAGTGAAAAAAGGGATGGGGACAGTTACGGGGGCAGAATGGAAGTGGGGAGACACATGGAAACGATAAGATGGAAGGAGAGAGAATGGCCCTCATATCCACAGAGAGTTGAATAAAGACTGGGAGGGAGAAAAAGTCAAAGAGGTGGAAAAAGAAGAAACCATGATGGGTGGATACATCTCTAACCTGATTTTTATTCCAATTGGTATTGTTTTCACACGAGTTAAGCCCATGCTTGTCACCAGAACTCAAATTCTAAGTATAAAGAAATAGGCCTTAATATTTTCTCTGTTATATTCTCTCTATTAAAATTCACCAAGGTAATCAGGATAACTAACATAATTAAGGTATAAATATACAAATCTACACAGTTTACCTTCCCCCCCCAAATAAACTATAATTACATTTTCAGGAGATGTGGGAAAACTTACCCACCTGCTGACTATCCCATGATCAATAGGATACACGCGCATCCACCAACCCACACACATGCACACACACATCTACTTGTATAAACATATAACTACAAAAGCAAGCATATGGAAAAATATAATTCCTTCAAATATGCTGTTTCAATAAGTAAGTAGACAAACCATGGTTGTTCCTAGAGATATTTAAATTGTTTAACTAACGGGACTTCCTAAAGTCACCAGGTGGGGACTCTGAGTCACTGAGAGTTAATACCAATGCTTGTGGGAAAAGCAATGATAATAGCACCTGTGGTAGAATTTGCAGAAGAGGTTGCAGTCACTGCCCTCCCTCTGCCCAAGCCCCTGGCAGTGTGCCTTTGCAGCCCCTCTTAGCAGGGGTAGGGGTCCATTTGACCCCTTGAAACAGGGCTGGCCTTGTGACTCGCTTTGGCAAGGACGTGGGGCGAGTGCGCCATTTTTGAGCCTAGGAGTCAAGAGGCCTTGTACGCTTCCAGTTCACTCCTGGGTGCCATGTCTCTACTGCGAGAACAAGCTTGGCTTAACCTGCGGGAGGATCACGCTGGAGCTGAGTCACTCTAGTTATCACAGGCATGACGACAAAGCTGATCCACAGATAACTGCAGATGCCTGAGAAAGTCCAACTGAGTTGAGTTGTTGACCCACCGAATGACCAGCGAAATAGATGATTACTTCTTATGTCGCTAAGTTTGTAATAATAACAGCTCGCTGATACACAAGTTAGCATTTACTGAATGCTAATTACGTGTCAGGTACTGGGCTGAGCATCTTAGATGCAGGATCTCACTGAATCTTTTGAAGACTGGGTGGTCACAGATACTTTTATTATTCTCATTTCACAGAGCAGAAAACAGCCATTTTTACCCTCTTCATAGCCAGAACTGAAGTCCAGATCTCCCGAGCCTGATCTCCACACTCTAATGTCATAGTGCCTCCATCTGAATTTGCTGGATGGTAAATCCTGAGAAACTCGAGTAACTAAGTATTATCACGGTGAGGATTGTTACTTTTGTTACTTGGTTTCTTTAAATTTAGCACTCAAGCAGGAGCTCCCAAGCTTTTTTTCGCTGAGAAACTACTTTTGGTGGCAAATTTCCGGTCCCACCAAGTTTTTTCCTGCTTCTGACCAACATTTCCATTGGTGGGAAGCCCTGAAGCCACTCCCTCTATCTGAACTGCTTGCGACTTGAGAGTGGCTGGCAGTGGGCAGAACACTGTTTTCTTTTCTTCTTCTTTTTTTTTAAATTTGTTCAGTATTCAGGTATTTTAACAAGATAGAATATATATTTTTATATTACATATAAAAATTTATATTTATATATACTTATATCTAATATGTATTTATATATTATATTCACATATATATTTATATATATTTAAAAAATATTTTTAAAGAAGAAAACACATATGTATAGCCATCCAAATCAAAGGCAATTTTAGCTTAAGCTCACCAGTTTAGAAAGTGTGTTTTGAGTTAACCTCCACCACCTAGAGACAATGTTCCAAACATTGAAGTGTTAACTCCTTCGAAGTGGTGCCTTAAAAAGTCTCTAATACTTTAGGGAGTGAAGACATCAAGTCCACTTCAAATTGTCATGCATGTTTTTGTCCTCCAAAAATAGTACCTTGTTTCTCCATGAGTGAGAAATCTTATTATATTTACATTATTAACCAAAGCTCATTTTCCTAGTGAGTCAAATCCAGCCCACTGAAGTTCTTTTGTACATTTGTGTTTTTGAGGCTTCAGAAATTGGAACAAAATTCTAACCGAAAGCCAAGTTTTCCAGGTATTCTAGCTGGCCGGAAGCCCTACTTGTTGGCTTTATAAGATTATAAATAATGATTGTTGGTTAAGTAATAGGTAGGCTGGACTTAATTGTTTGTTCTTTTCTAGGAGGTCTCATTTGTCCTTCAGAACTGTAGTCAGCAAAAGATAAGAAAGGGCAATAGCTGTTAACACTTAACTAGCACCTGCCGTATGCCTCTTTCTTCTAATCTCTTACATATAATCTTCCCAAATTCAAAGGGTCAATTTCCAAACCCTTTCCTAACATGAGAAAAAGGAAGCAAAGAGAGGCTAAAACACATTCGCAAGACGACATCATTGGTTATCGTTGTATCCGGGTTCAAAGCCAGCAGTCTGGCTCCAGAGCCCATATTCTCAGTTTCTACACCCTTACCGGCAGAAGGGTAAGACGGTAAGACGCTTCTGCCGGTAAGAGGCTGACTGGACCGGTTTGCGGGATAAAAAACTATGTGCACAATTACCACTTTCCTGAAATATTGGCCGTGAGACTAACACATTGAAAAGAATGGATGCTTTAAGCTAATAAAAGAAATGTAAGATTTCCCTAAGTGACATCTATTTTGTATTTCAACTTAGTTTTCTCTTTCCCCTTTCCTCCTTACGAGATGTCTCAGCGACTTCACCTTCGCTGCATCCGCCCCAGGTCCTGCGGTGACTACGGGCAGGGGCTTCACTCACCGCAGTTGTCCTCATCTGCCTGGTTGCCACAGTCGTCCACTCCGTTGCAGTGAAGTAGCTGAGGCAGGCACTTGGTGATATTCCCACAGGGGAAATAGCCGAGGGAACACTTGACATCCTGCCCGCTCCCAGGAACCACTGATGAAGAATGAGGAGAGAAGGTTAATATAAAAACATTTCAAAAAGTGGTTTTCTCCCAGTATCCTAAAACAGGTACTCTCATTCTGGCAGGTACAGCTCTCCATATGGGAGCCCCACCTTGCTCACTAGCCTGAGGCCAACTCTTTTCCAAGAACCTCCATGCTATTGGGACATTCTTTTCCATGTTCCCAGAAGATGCCAGGATTCTCCTTTCTTTGTCTTTTCTCATGTTGTTTCCCACGTGGAACGTCACAGATAACCATCCCCCTGTGGCTGGTTGCGGGAACAAGGTTGGTGGGGGTGGTGGTGGCGTCCCCCCTGCTCCCGCAACCAATCCTTCTTTTTCTATGAAATGTCTGCCGTACTTTAGAGTTGAACTCAGTTCCTTTCTTCTCTTTCAAAAACCTCTCAGCCAATCATTTTAAAAATCAGGAATTTATTGAGTTCTCACTCAGAATCAAGGTTGGTCTGGTACTAGAGGAAGAAGACATAGAGACCATCAGGAAAGTACATGCACCTGCTCACTCACAGATTGGATAGCTCCTATGTGTGAGGCTTTGTGCAAGATTTTGTGCAAATGGCATGGAATGAAATAAAGTTCCTGCCCTTTTCAGATGGGCTTCTTTCACTTAGTAATATGCATTTAGGGGTCCTCTATGTCTTTTTATGGCTTAATAACTAATTTCTTTTTAGTACTGAATAATATTCCATTGTCTGAATGTACCCACAGAAGGACATCTTGGTTGCACCCAAATTTTGGCAATTATGAATAAAGTTGCTATAAACATCCACATGCAGGTTTTTGTGTGGATATAAGTTAATTATGCCACTTTAAAACCTCAGATTTATATAAACTTTAAAGATTACTGGAGACTCCAAATGTAATTCTGTTGCTTATTATCCTTATCAAGTTTGTACCTGTTTGGAACTTTCTCGAATATTGTCAATTATAAGAAATAAGATCAGAATAGTTTGAACTGTCAATAGCATTTATTTTGTAAAAATGTATTTGTAATCTGTCATCAAGACATGAAAAGAATAAAAGTGGCTATTTTCTTTGTAAGATGCAGCAGGACATTTAATAACAGGGCAAGTGACATTTTTATAGAGAAGAAATCTAGCTATGTCAGGTTTTGACTGTACTTAGTTTTTCAGAGCACATCATTTGTTGAAGGAAATGGTTAAATCTATGTAATAATGAGCTATGTTGTAAATAGTACCTTCACTTGTGAAATTATTTTAAAATTATCAATATTTTTTCAACAAACTGATTAAAATGAAGTCAAAGGATTTGTGTACCACTGGATGTCACTGGTAGAACATCATACATTTCAGAGACTTCAAGTGTACATAAAATAAGGTTAATCTGTGTTGATACTGACTTTTGATATCTTTATTAATTTCTTAAGAACAAAATTTAAAATTTAAGGGTTTCAGGGGCGCCTGGCTGGGTCAGTCGGTAGAGCATGAGACTCTTGATCTCAGGTTCATGTGTTCGAGCCCCACATTGGGTGTGCAGCTTACTTAAAAAAATAAAAATCAAGGGTTTCAGAAAAATTCTTTGATGAATTGTCAGCCTTCAGCCACAGTTACTGTTCGAAGATGTTTTAAGTAGACATACCTGCCTGTGTTTTCATGCTGCTGTTTTGAAAATTCTTCTGGAGTAACTTATTTTTATGGATATTATGCTCTTATGTCCTATCTTTGAAGTTTATCTTTAGAAGCAGATACAGCTCTTCAATGATTGTGCCATGAAATTAGTTCCACGTTTTTATAACATTATGATTCAAAGATATATTTAAAGTCTTAAATAGTGGCATTTTAAAAATAACTTTATTTTGAGATGGTATCAAACTTAAAGTTTCAAATATAGTATAAAGAATGATCCCCCCCCCCAAATCATTTGAGAATAAGTTCCTGATCAGATGCTCCATCACACCTAAAAACTTTGGTTGTGTTTTTTCTATAAGCAAGGACATTCTCCTACATAACCAAGCTAGAACCATCAAAATAAGAAATTAACATTGATGCCTTACTACCATTTCAACCTCAGAACCCATTCATGTTTCACATATTGCTCAAAAGTCCTTCATAGTAAAAGAATCTAGTTCATAATCCTTGCGTTTAATTGTCACATTTCTTTAGTTTCCTTTGATCCGTAGTTTCTTAGTCTGTCTTTACCTTTTATGACCTCAACACTTTTGAAGATTGCAAGTTAAATATTTTGTAGAATGTCCCTAAATTTTGGTTGTATGATATTTCATCAAAATTAGATTTCGATTATGCACCTTTGGCAAGAAATTCACAGAAGTGATGTTCATTTCAGCCTGTTAGGTTATGCAAGATTTTGATTTGTCCCATTACTGATGATGACCACTTTGGTCACTAGGTTAGGGTGATGTCTCCAAAACTCCTCCACTATAAAGTTAGCTTTTGTAATTAATAAGCATTTTGTAGAGGGGATTCCAATCCCCAGCCAACACCAGAAGATTCAGTCTGGTTTTTTCCCTTTACATATCTCTAACTCCCTTCTCTGACAATGAGAAACTGCTTTCTGATATCCTTAATATAGTTATTATCTTGACAGATCCTCTTCCTGCATGGTTGCCCTCCTCACCCCCATTCAGTTCTGAGTCCTGGTAATGGGCATTTTTCCTATATGAGCACTCTCCTTGCCCTGTTAGAAACCTGATACATGGTACCAGACACCAGCTCCCTCCGTGGACACCTCCTCACCCCAGCTTGGCCCCAAAATTCCTCTCTGGGCTACCACAGCTCCTTTGTCTCGCTCAGCACAGAAGAATACCTTTCTCTGATCACCAAATAGCTTTAGGGCTTCATTGTTCAGAAACAGAATGATAGAGTAAGGGGACAGTACATGATGGTTATCGGAGAATTTTGCAGTTGAAGGGGATCATATTATGCGACCCCAAAATATGCCACTTTGGCCCAAGTATTATTTTAAACTGAAGACAGTTAAAAACAAACAAACATAGGGAGGGCTCTCTGCCCTCCCTCATCAGCCTGAAAGCAGGGCAAAAATTTCCCTTTGTGAAGGTGTCTTCTTCCACCTTCCATACAAGGAGGAGAACAACTCTTGTCACTGGAGATGGAAAGTTGGCACCAAGGTGAGTCTGCACAAACAAACCTTACTAAAATAACCCTTTTCTTCCCTCTTGGGACTAAAGTCTTAATAATAAACATTTTTTGGAGGCAAAGTTCCTAGCGGTTTATCATCAATGGAATAAAACTTAGCTTTTACTTTTTGACAGACCTTGACATAAATGCACAAGCACTTACAATTGTGTCTAGGGAACTCATGAAAATGCCAACTCAGGGAAATTATAACCCTTATTGTGAAACAACCTTAAATGTTAATATGGAACATTTTAATATGGTTGCTCTGAAGTCAATGCCTTAAGGGCATCTCTGTTCAGTTAAATTTAAAATAAAGTAGGTGAGTGTAATTGGTACATTTCATTAAAATGTTTATTGTGTTTCTGTTCAGCTATGACTCGTGTAAGCACTAAGGTAAGAGTGTCATTGGATTCTATAACTTATTTCCCGCATTTGAAATCCTTTTTACGACCTCTGGAAAATATGCAATATTCTATTTTCTTAGACAATTACAGCATCAAAAGTATAGAGGTAGTTTACTAAATACTTTGTTAGGAAGTAAAATAAACACACACGCCTGCACGCACATGCATGCACATGCACACACAAAGACAAACTTTCCCTACATTCAGTCCTTTTATTTTATTTTAATATTTTATTTTTTTAAAGATTTTATTTATTTATTTGAAAGAGAGAAAGGGAGAGTGAGAGGGAGAAGCAGACCCCCGCTGAGCAGGGAGTCTGACATGGGGCTCAATCCCAGGACCTTGAGATCATGACCTGAGCTGAAGGCAGATGCTTAATCGACTGAGACACCTGGGTGCCCCCAGTCCATTTATTTTAAAAGATAATTTCTATCTTAAATGATGACTGCCAATAACTATTTAAGATATATTTTTTAAAGATTTATTTATTTGTCAGAGAGAGGGAGAGAGAGCACGCGCATGCGCACAAACAGGGGGGCGTGGGAGGCAGAAGGAGAAGCAGGCTCCCCGCTGAGCAAGGAGCCCAGTGTGGGACTTGATCCCAAGTCCCCGGGATCATGACCTGAGCCTAAGGCAGACGCTTAACTGACTGAGCCACCCAGGTGTCCCACTATTTAAGATATTTAAAAACAAAACAAAAATATCAGTCACAGCAGAGGATTGTTACATACATGGGGCAATTTCAGAACTATATATTCACATAGGTACATTGAACAATAGTCTGTATAGTTTGATCTTATTTATATAAAATAAAGACTATAAAATACTTGTGTTTATAAAATGCTGATGTATTCACAACAAACCATCAACAGTGGTTGTCTTTGGGAAATGGGACCAGTAATTTCAGGACAAAGGGGAGATTTTACTCTGCAGTTTATATCTTCGAGAAAATTTGGACTTGTTTTTTAAAAGCGAGTACTGCTTTAATAATAAAAAAATAATCTGAGGTTATTTACAAGCAGTTCAAATGTGTGAAAATTTGGTTTCTTAGCTATAGATTAAAAAAATCTCATTTGTAAAAAAAAAATCTCATTTGTAATAGTAGTTAGCTCTCTTTAGACCTTTTGAAACAAGGTAGTATAAGGTCAGTGGGTCTCAAATAGGAATGAGTTTTCCTTGTACCCCAGGGATTAAATGGTAAAGTCTGGAGACATTTTTTATTGTCATGACTGGGGGGGGTGCTGCTAATAGGTAGAGTCCAGGGATGCTGGTAAACATCTCACAATGCATAGGAAGGCTCCCTCAAACAAAGATTTATCCGTCCTAATGACAGTAGTGCCCAGGTTGAAAAACCCAGGACTCGGCATTGTTGAAGAATCAATGGGAAAGCACTCCATGCCTGAAGACTACTAACACATGAGCTCAATTTCAGAACAGGCAATCGATTAATTAATA